TGGTTAGATTGATAGAATATCAAAAGATCGAGATGGATATCAAGTGCAAGTAGGTAACACTTGAAGGATTGAATCTGAAATTAAATATATATTATATTTTAATGCTTTTGTTTTCTGTTTGAATTTAAGCGCTTTTTTAAAATTAAATTTGTGAATGTTTATTTCGAATCGTTTTTTTTTTATGTAATAAATCATGATGATTAGAATTTATTTATGGAAAATATATTTATTATATTTGGTCTAGCTAGTCTACAACTTTTACCAATTTTTGCTTTAGTTTATTTACAAAATGAAATAGTAATAATATCGAAAATTTTCGAAAAGATTCAATCAAAAATATTATGTATAATGTCAATGAGTTTTTCATATTGTTTAGTTTTTATAAATATATTATCAATTGAACAATCAATTAAAATAATTATTTCAATTTTATTGATTATTACACTTAGTTTAAGCATTAACTATACATATAAAGATTATACGATAGATGAAGGTTAGAGTTTTAAAATTCTCAATTTAATAATGAAAGGTTTTAACTAATGTAATCACCCACGGCGGTGGCTGCAATTGTTGATTTCGAGAAATTTTGAAATGAAAAAGAGAAAAACAAACCATAGTAGAAAACTTATTGATAAGAAATCAGATGGTAACGTTGATTGTGGAAGTTGGAAATTTTTAAAAATTAAATATTGATTTTAAAAACTTTATGTTCATTGACTGTTCACACTTCTAGTTTCTATCTACTTTTGAAGATGTCGGTTTCACTTAATCCTTTAGTAATGCAAAAAAGAGAAGTGGTTTCTTTCAGATTTTGTTTCACAAAATTATGATAAAATCTATTTTATTGTAAATGAGATGGATTTATTCGTTAGAAGTAAAATCAGTAGTGTTCATTCGTATTAATTAAAAATCTATTTAACTGCTAAAGAACTCATTCACTTAAATTTGTCATAATTTCTGGCAAATTTTCGTATTAGAAGTAAATATCGTCATTGAACACTTTGAAAACTGTATAGATTCAATAGAAAATTGTCATATTTTGAAAGAAAACCTTTTTCTATAAATTATACTTAATTGATTATGTCAAGCATCATAAAAATGTTTGATTTTCAATTCGGCTATCTTTTTGTTTGTATTTATAATTCTTCCGAGCTACTAAATAAAACAGTTAGTAAGTATATCAATTGTTTGAGTAACTTATTCAGATAACAATAAGTCTAAATACAAATGCATTGACTATATTACAGTTTATTCAACTCTCTACTTATAATACAAAAAAAAATAATTCATAAGCGATTGTTTTCAGAGTTATACAAGTAAAAAACCTATATATAAGAAAATAAACAGCTTGTGACTATTAAATCTATTGGAATTGTTATTTATCTGAATTGTTTTGATTTAGGTTACTATATTACAATTCCTTATTTTATTATTTATTCATGTTTTGTTTTTATTATTAGTATTACTGAATATCCATTTTTTACTATTGAATTTATTAAAATTTCTATTATGCTTCTATGTTCTTTAATATGTTATATCGTATTTTCTATGAATATTTTTCTTGGAATAGAATTACATACAAGTTATCTTAATTATATTGCATTTATTGGACTTTTCATAGGAACTTTTAATGTTATATTAATAATTGATTATAATCAATATAAATATAATCAAATGAAATTTATTATTAATTTTTTAACACTACAATTAATACATATATATCTATATTTAGCTCATTTATTAAGTGTTAAATTTGAAATAAATATTCAATAAATATCGAAATATAAATTTAATTAGAATTGTATTCGATTGTTTAGTACTTTCTTTTTTTCTTGATTTTTGCTCTAGAATAAAATTTATCATACTTGAAATCAAAATGATGTAATCGATTAGTATAATTTCTTTAGTCATGTCAATAATAAATCTAAAAATATGAAATCTTAGATTATTGAATAGGATAATAGGCTAATTTTTTGAATAACGCAACTTCAGTATTCTATAGAGTAAAATAAGTTGTTCTCACTGGTAGAATTTAAAATTCGTATTTTTTAAAACTTCTAGAAATTCATCAAGCTAAAACTGCTTATAATCATGATCGGTTTTAATTCTACGACTTAACCCATTCGACCCGATGAGACCCACCGGTAGGTCTCACTGTGCAAGGTTCCGAATGGAATTCAGAAATAAAATGTTTCCGTACACTTTGTTTAACTTAGTAAAGTGTATGTGTACACGTAGCTTTTGCGAGCAAAGGGTAGCAAAGTGTATAGATTGAAGTTTGTCATATAATCTAGAAAAAATAGATTTGTTCATTTTTATATCTGTTCAGAAATTTAAAACAAATGTAAAATATTAAATGAACAACACATAAGCATACAATTATTATTTAATATGACATCAGTAAGAACATATTTCCGAAAAAAAATACATATGAACGTTGCACTTTAGCAAAAATCAATCAAAAGTTTGATCTTCATCTTCTTCATGATGCATATCTATATGATCATCACAGAATCATATTGAATAAATATTTATAACAAATTTGATTCTACAATAATTATCTTCATTAGCACTTCGAATAAAGATAATGATGAACTACATTCTGATTCTACTGAAGATGAACAACGTCCTAATTCTACTGAAGTTGAACTACTATCTATCACTGAAACTCTATTGTTACTAGACAATTCAGTTAATGTTATTTGAGTTTTACTCGTCTGAAACAAAAAGAATAAAAATTTCCATTATTGATGTAATGAAAATATTGAATTACCAAACAATCTATATCTATCTATGTATCTACAAAAAAGCATAGAAAACAGAATGTTATTAGAAAAAAGAAAAAGAAAGATTAATCGGCAATAAAATTCATCAAACAAGCTTGTATTGTACATTTTATTCTTCACTGACATTGATATGAATTTATATCGAAACAGATTTTTCGGTAAAAAACAAAGTGTAAATTTCGTAAACACAGTGTACTCAGTACACGTTGCTTTTGTTAACAGTGTGTAAAACAGCGTGTTTTTTTCATTTAGCAAGGGTTGCGTACACTTTGCTGTTCGGAACCTTGGTGTGAAGATAGCCGAACCGGATCATCTAGCTGGAACAAAATAATTATTCTATTGGACGATGAAGTCTGCAATAGATAACGTAGTTTTTATGAAACACCAATATAGAGGAATAGTAAAAATAATATTTTGGACATGGCGCTCTTGGTGACAGTTTCACTCTAAAAAAATCAAGACTCATGACATGTATAAACAAGACGTTTCATTCGTCTGATTAAGACACTTCGAGAAGTTTTAGTTTGTGGAATATAATTACTTGAAAATATTTTTTTCTAATACCCAGTATTCATATAAAATCGTATATATTCTAGAACTCGTGAACCATAGGTTTGCAGAACAGTCTGCACAAGACAGATGCAATACAAGCCTATAATTGGAAAATGAAACGAAAGTTTACTATTTTTTAAAGCAATTATAATTACTAAAAATAATTGTATAGAGGTAGTGGTGACAATTTTAATATTATCTTGAAAAGAAATAAGTAACCTAGTATCGTATTAAAAATTAATAAAAGATAAATTTCATCTTTTTCAATGATATATATATTTATGAAATCATTTCATCTACAATAATTTATTGAAAATATTTTCTAACATTTAATATTCATATAAAAAATATATTTATTCTAGAATTAAAAACTTCAGATTGGTAGAGTAATCTACGAAAAACAGATACGAGAAAAATCTACAAGTGAAAAAGAAAAATATTTAGTAGTACTTCATTTTAAATTATTTGATACTAAAGTATATTGTAATTCTATCTTTGATAATATTTCTATTATCTAGAAAATAAATGGATGCCTAAAGGATATATTGAGAATAAATGAAAACGAATTTTGCTAAATTATTATTTGTATATTAATGAAGTCTCTTCAGCTATCGAATCAAGAGACGCAAACATATGAAATCATAAAAAAAAAGAAAATTAACAACTTATGGCATTTCAATATCATATGAACTGTGACATGAAGTATATTTTGTTTCGAAGATTATATAAAGTTGACTAATAATTTCACCAGTTAACGTTTTTCCTAATTCAACTTCATATTGTCTCAACATGAGTATCATATCTGCAGGACATTTTTGAATAAAATTTTCTATAGCGTGATTGAATTGTACGTCGTATAATTCGTGTGCCTGCAGATGTTGGTCTAGAAATACTTGGCTGTTGTACGGTAGCATGTTGAATAATGTTTGGCATAGGCCACAAATTGAAACGATCAGTACATATTATAACCAAAACCATAAGAATAAAAAAAACTAGATTATTTACCACATTGATTGGTAATATGCAATCGGCCCATGTTTTGTCCATTCCACCTAGAAAAATTAGCATATGATTTAATAAGTTCTTATTTAGTCGAAAATTTTATTTAAAATAAATGTATGTATGCTAAACAACACTTATTAAAATATTTCTACTGAAGTCGATCGTTGTCTGAAGTATAAAGATCAAGTATTGAAAACAAAATTACTTAATTTTTAACGAGAAATGAGACACCACGTTCGTGCTGGAAAAAATCTCTCATCTAGAAGTGTTGAATATAAAAGCATTGTTACATTGATCAAAATGAGAATTAATAATATTCTTTAGTACTTTGTGATCGAATATTTTCCATAATTGATAAACCCATATACATAAACTTGAATCCAAGACAATATTGAAGCAAAATGAATACAACATTTATAACAAATACGTATAAGATCTTGACCAGTATATAAACAATGGGGATGAAATATCGATTTTGACATAAAAGCTTTTCATGACATTGGCCTATGGGATCCGATAAAATCCGATCGTTTTTCCGATAGGATCCGGCGAGTCTGCCAGTCGGATCTGTCGCCCTGGGTGATTGAAACTGTTTAGAAATTCTGATATAACATTTCTTTAGATTTTGGGAAATATTCTTTATAAAAAATTCGGTCGAGTATGTATGCACTTCAAACAATATTAAACAATGATCAATTACAACTTGATGAAACAACTGTAACTGGATAGTTTTTTGCTGTACTCTTAATTACTTTTTAAGGCAAAACTTTTGGAAAAAGAACTTGACGAATATGTCCATAATCCTATTGAGACGAAAGAACGTTTACTCAAGTCCTTATTCACGTTTAGAATTAATTTCGGAAGGCTGCACGTGATATTATCAAAGTATATTAATATCATCGAAACTATAATAAATCGGTTTTATTTTTTAATAGGAAAAACTTCTATCACAACTTCGTGAACGAAATAAAATTGTTTCATTAGATCTTAAACAATTTGTTGAGACATATCTCATTGAAATAGCTTCACTTACTGATAAACGTGATACATCAAAACATGAACAACAAATAACTGTTTGGAGACGTGAACGACAAGAACAACTTGATTATCAAATTCATCGTTTTGTTACTGAACAAAAAAAGCGAATTTAATGGAACGTCTTCATTTATTAGAAGAACATGATGAATTATTAAACTTTTTTGAAAATAAATCAAAGATTATTATGTATTCACAAGATCAAGCATTTGCTGATGAAAGTTTTGAAAATATTCGTGCACCAGATGAATATGAATATTTTGAATTAACTTGTCAACATTATCATTGGGATCGAATGGATCCATGTCAATCATTACATCTTGATAAAAAATTATGTGATGAAGAAATGAGTGATGTACGAAATTGGCCACTATATTAATATTATGCTGAAATTTGGAAATATGATCTTGTTGATTATGTTTCATTAAATGAAAAAATGAAACGTCCTGAAGAAGATTTACTTTTAAATGAAAGACCTTCGTATTACAAACAATACTCTTCCTAGTAGATCAGTGTTTTTTTTTCTTTTCCTGTTATTGTTTTTTTCTAGATGAAGAAAATAAAAGAAATTGCAATTTATTGGGCATTATTTAATGTATCGAGAGTAACAATTCTCGAAGAGAAGCTAAAATATGCTTATTTTTAATTCACATCTAGTTTTCTACCACGTTTACTATTATGAACGATTTTGCATGGATCTCCAATTTATTTGCTTATGCTAAACCAATTCATATTTCAAACTTAATGTATGGTAGAATTTTTGTTTGTACAAATACTTCGAAAGTCAAGTTCTCATTAGAATGTTTACTAATAGCAATATACCGGTTGATTTTTATTTGTTATAAGATAAAAATATCCTGAAACTTTCAATTCTTTATAAAATTTAAAACGATAAAATTTGTTTTGTTGAAAGATCATTCAATAAATGAGCATTATGTGGGAAAATTGTTGATAAAGACACGCTAATAAATGCTAGTATACGACAGAGAGGTTCGATTCAGTTTTGAAAAAGTTTTTATTCATTATAGTATATGTTTTCCAAAAAAAAAGTTAGTAGTAAAATTTGATATCAGTCTGTCAATTTCAACATGCTATTTGAAAGTTAATTAAAGTGGTAACGAAGAAAGAAGAACATAGTTTCATTTCAATCCTAAATTTAACAAAACGACGTATATTTAATGCGATTGTACATACTTGTGTAAGTACTTACAGAAATCTTTGAATAGTTAGTTTCACGAAGACAGAACCATGTACATTCAGTTTTGTTTCTCTTTCTTTATCACCATTGATGATTATAAGTAAATGACTACTACCTTTTATATTCATTCACTGTGTAAGTTTATTTGTTGTCTCGAATTTTATCATGTTAATGTAGCAGTATAATTTTGTTACACTTCAATTTACTACTCGTATATAAGCAGTTGTTGTTATTTCGACTTGACAAAGATTTTTTGAGAGAGAATTTTCAAATATTTTCTCTTATATTTATATTACAAAATTCGTGGGAAATTGTCACGTTGAAACATTATACAGTTGTTCAATTTATTTACTGATCACTTATTATTATTAACAGCTATAATGATTTTTGATAATGAAAAAAAAACAACTTTTTTTTTCGGCGTTTTCCACCAAACTCTCACAGATTGCGGTACTAACTCAATCATTAGTCAAATAAAATTTGATTTTTTCATTTCCATTAATACAGCTGTTTTATAAAGTGTGTCTACGATTTACTTCTAATAAAAAAAAAATATAAACAAAACTGACTTGTAAACTTTTCATGTCATACTATCAAGACAAGAAAGTGCAGTCAATAAAATCTAGGTATAAATGAATAGATACTGTATATTCGTCTGCTAGTCACACATAGTGGTAATTTTTTCCTTTGTGTTGTTTCTTTTTTCTATTATCCGTTGTCTATCCTTTCTCTTCTTTTCTCTCTCTCCTCCCTTTTCATAATATAAATATTCTCATTTTAAAATAACACGTCCATATCAACGTTTAACAAATTTGTTTACATTGTGAATTATAGTCTAATCGTTAAGATCGTTTTAACAGTTTATTATTATTTAAATAACTGTATCAGATGTATCATTTACATATTGTGCTCGTTGTTGAAAAATAATATGGCACAAAAACTTTCTCTAAGACAGGTAAGGCAATTTGAACATACGTCAGATAATCGGTTTCTTATATTTAGGCAATCTTGGAATCATTGGCCGAGATCGAGAACGAGGTAATCTAATTCTTAAAATTATAACAGAGAAAATATGATGGTGTCTATCACGGTCTGTGACGATAGCAAATACGTGATGGGTCCAAGTTTCTATTCCTATACTACAACACTTCTTTAAGATTATGTTATAGAAAAGCTGGTATTTTTAGATCTTACGACAAAAAGATTCAATTGAAACTCGTCAAAAAAAAATCAACGAAAAACAAAAAAAATTAGATGAAGATTTAAAAAACAAAACAATTAATGAAACAACAGCTCCACAAAAAGCTGAAGAAATTGCAGATTTAATTATTATACAATCAGGTTAAGAAGCATTTCTTACACTAGGGCTGTACCGCTCACGCTCATGAGAGCTCATATGAGCGTGAGCGACCATCCCTCACGTGAGCATGAGCGTGAGCGAAAAAGCGCTCATGCTCATATCAGCGCTCATGAGCGTGAGTGGTACAGCCCTACGCACATGCTCAGGTGAGGGGTGGTCGCTCACGCTCATATGACTAGGGCTGTACCGCTCACGCTCATGTGCGCTCATATGAGTGTGAGCGACCTCCCCTCACGTGAGCATGAGCGTGAGCGGTACAGCCCTATCTTACACTACTTCAATCTGAAAAAGGTAAAAATATCTAAAATAAAATGAATATAAAATGTTATCTTTTTTTTTTCTAGATTCGAAAATAAAACGATTGGATAAAGATAAAGAAAATGCAATCCATGATCGTGATGAATCAGCTGGTAATTTAGCAAGTACTACACATCATCATCCATATGATGCTCATAAAAAATGAAGACAAAATTATTTAAAAACAAAAACATTTTATTAATAACACTTTTTTTTTGTTAACTAGCATTATTTTATTTAACCATCAGCATTTTTTTTGTTAACCACCATCATTTAAAATAAATTTCTTTCTTTATCATCTTTACAAAGAACTATATTATGTTCTATATCAAATCGTAAATGACAATTAATCATTTCAGTTAATATAACAGGATGTTGTTGTATAAAATAAAAAAGAAATTTCAAGATATTCGATAAATTCCCATCGATCCTTCTCTTAGAGAGACAAACAATATCTCGATAATCATCATCGAAACTTTGTTCAATATAATACAGTTATCTACGGTACATAAATAATTGTTGAGGATCTTGCTAATATTTAAGACGTGTAAAGATATGAATGAAACAATACTTTTATTCTTAGAACTCAATACAGAATATCTTCTATAATTCTATCTTCAAATATCATCATCATTATATAGTTACTTATTAGTACAACATAATTAGTAAATACTCGAATGATTTTTCATAAAACTTTCATTTTTTTATGAAATAATTGTTAATAATTGACATTTCCCTATATTTTATTAATGTCGTTGTTCAAAATATAAGATTTATTTAGCTTTTCAGTTTATTAAACAAATCATAAAAGTCCATCTATAGTGAAGGAAAGTAAAGATAGAAATCTTTTGAATGTACTAATGGTATGACCATAAATAATTGTTTCACCTTTGCACAATTACGTCGTGTTTCTTCTCTTGTGAAATTTTTTGTTGCAATTCTTAAGTTAGTATAAAAGACTGTTAATTCAGTTAAACAAGGTAGATATGTTTTTGTTTCATTTAGAAATTGTTCAACGTAACCAAAATGTGTATTTCTCAGATCAAGCACAGTAAGATGAGGATATTCAGCAATTGGATTCGATCGATTATTATCAGATGAAAATGTGTTAAGATTACAACATGATTGTGATTCTTCATTTATAACACGAAAAATATTCAGTAATGGAAAAGCTCGGCCAATCCAAATAAAGAATTCATGGTTGAATGGAAGTATATCTTCTACCAATAAATATGTAACATATTTGAATGCGGTTTTTCCAAATATATTACCAATAGCTTCGAGACGATCGAATGCAAAAGGAAGTGAGAAAATCGAACATACAACTTTATGAGTATTAATATAATTGACGATATTAGCCACATGTTGTCGAATATTTTCGTAAGGTAAATAATGAATCAAATTACCATTGTCGATATAAGTACAAATATAAAAAATGAATGAATGAAGTCGTGGCATATAAAGAAAAATTTCATTTAGAAGATGAGCATCATCAATGAACGTATTTCGATTGTTGATACGAAGATATAAAGTTAATTTTTCCAGATATGACATACGATGTAGAAGAGGTAGAATTTTATCATCATATTGATCAATTGAATGATAACATTTTAATGAAAAACATTTCAAATTAGGTAAGTCATTCTACATAATAAAAAAGAAATTGAAAAATATATTATTTAATTGATCTAAAAAAAATAAATCATGCGTACAGTTGACTAGCAAACTATTTAGTTTTAATTCTTTCTGATTTTCGTCAAAAGATCCATTGTCAATTATTGACGATTAATACAATTTTGTAGATTGTGTTGAAATTTTCGAATAAACTTCAATCATTCAATTTTTTCTCTGAATATTTTTTTTAAATAAATCAAAGTGTACAAAATTGGTAGTCAACTTCATCTTACAATCGATATTATTTGTTAAAACTTACCATGTTATAAACGATTGATGAAGAGTTATTCATGTAATATATTTCAACAATAAGTGTTGTTAATTGTTATAGTCGACGATCAAGTAATCAAAGACAATCATCTAAGGTGTACACATTGATGCATCAATGAATAAGAGTCGAAGAGAAGAAAGTAGTCGATGGCAAATCAATAAGTGACAAGCCCGGATATGACGGAACGTATAGTAAATTGCTAAGTGGAAGGCGTGAATATGCTGGCATGAATGTTCCAATAACACTCAACTGTTTTAAATTTTTGCAGAAATTCAGAATATGTGCATATACATTTTTAATGTAATCTTCCGATGATTCTATTATACTCCTTTGATCAATAGTTTCAAGAATAAGATCTGTAATTTGATGTCGAAAGACATCTCGAAGAGGTGATTCATCTAAAAAAAGAAAAACCATTATGTTCACTGTATGAAATTGAAAGAAGACATCACATTAAGAAAAAGAAAAAAAGAAATGTTTATTATACAATTCAGCTAATTGAATTTCATTCATATAATATTTGTTGTACAGTATATTTTTTTCAGCTGTGATCAAATTTGAGTTTCAAGAGAAATTATATCATACATTCAATGAAATAATATATTCTTGAGGAAGGATAAATCAACTAGAACACGATGATCTTGATACGCAAATAATTGAACAATGTTTGATTCAATTATGAAATAAGATGCAATATGATATAATAAATCTATTAGATTTTTGATCTTAATCTTTAAAGATCTAATCTAAGAAAAAGCCAAAAAAAAGCTTCGAAAAGAATGTCTTCGAAGTACGTTTCATCACTTCAAAAAAAAAACAATCGTTGATCATGTTTGAAAACTTCTTCCATTAGATGTTTTAAATGAAATTTATCTTACATAATTTTATTAGAATATTGTTTCACATGATTTTACAAATAAAAGAACTGCATGTTTTATTTATTTGTTAATATGCTGATTATTTTTTTATCGGGTACTTGAAGTCAAATGACGTTAAGAACAACATCTGAACAAATTTCGATATTTTCTCATCAACTGTTGTGTCTTTGAGAATTGAAGTAATTTTATCTTATATGTATCATAAGTTACTCATCACGTTTATTACATTTGATTTTATTTTTTTCGTATAGAAATTGAATTTCATTGAGTATTTAAGAAAGATATTTCAGAACTGTTGAACAAGAAATTATAAAGGTATCATTTAAAAGTACAGATGTCCTTTAAACAAGTGAAGTTCTTATTAACCGTTAATGGAAGACAATATAGCCCATAGTTACCTTCACGAACACTTGTTAATTAAAATATTATTATAGATAATGTTCTGTTGAAAAATTCTTCTCTTAGCATCAATGTATTTTCTTCTTATGAATGGAACAGATAACACTACTGCAAGAACGGAGTAATATTCAAGTAAACCTTTCATTTAAATATATCAATTTTGTTATTATTTATTTCAAAGAAGAAAACTTATTGCACATCATCAATAGATTCTAATACTATAGGTATGCAAGCAGAACAGAAAAAAAAGATGTAAATTTAACCCTTTCGCTACGATTTGATTTTCATAGAAAATCAGATTTCGAAATACCTGTTATTAGAAAAACAAAATACACTACAAGATGTAGCGTGAAAAGCTCTACAATCTACACCGTAAAACCTACTTCAATTGTGTACTTTTTGTTTTCAAGAAAACGCAAAACTGTATGCGATCAATTTTTGAGATCGCTTCGAGACTATAGTATTTTGACGTCGAGATTTGTACATAATTGAAATAGATTTTACGGCGTAGATTGTAGAGCTTTTCACGCTGTATCTTGTGATATATTTTATTTTTCCTTACAAAGTCATATTAGGTAATAAAAAGACGAAATAAGAAAAATGAAATTTCACAGTCGTGTAAAAAACAATGATTGTTTCGCAACCTCGAAAACTAGTCACACAGAGTTTTACTTTCTTTGAAAACAAAAATTATATAATAAAAATAAGCCTTACTATGGGAATTGTAGAACTTTTCGCGTTGCATCTTATGTTATATCCTGTTTTTTACTAAAAACGCATTTAGAGATTAAGATATGAAATACACAATGAGACCCACCGGTGGGTCTCATCTGATCGAATGGGTTAATTGAATAGTAACTTTGACTTCTTTTTTAAAGAATTTAAAATTTAATTTCTCCTACTTTTATGAATATAACAAAAAAAAAAGTATTGATCGAATTCGTTGAATTTTGTGTTTGATCAACTTGTATCTATTCTTATCACAATTGTTTCAGTAACACATAATAGAACCAACGAATAAGAAGTCTATTTCTAATCCTTCTTCATCACAATTATATTATTTATCCTTGAATAATTCCATTTCTGAATGTGTTTCAAGCATAAATCCATATGACAAAAAAAAACAACACATTGTCACTATTAATAAATTTTCTTTCAATGAATTCTATGAATTTTTTATTATACAAATTAAAAGACAAATCCACTACATCATGATTAATTTTTTATTTGATTATTTCATCTCTAGAACACATATATTTGCTGTGCACAAGCAACAAAAAAAAAGAAAAGAAGAAAAAAAATACGAAGATGTATATAAATAAATTAGAGGCAAATGAGTACACAAATAAACTAAGGAAGATAAAGGAAATCGTTTAGAAACACTGTTCGTTTAATAGAAATCGTTTGTATATATGCGCATACTACAAATTATAGACAAATAAAAATTGCACAAGATTAGTTTTATTGTATGAATATATTTACGATATATTTTTGATTAAAACAAAAAAAAAATCAAGAGACACAGACAAAGAAAATTAAATATGCGCATTTAAATAAGCTACATAAACAAACAAAAAGCTCTGTGTACAAGATAATAAATAGAACGATACAATAATTGAGAATAAAAATGTTTTGTTTCTATGGAAAAAAATAATAATAATAATAATAATAAACACAGAATACATGGAAATCTAATGATTTGAATATTTTTGTTGATCATCATCTTGTCGAGGTCCCATTGTAAGATCAGATAGAAATTGAGTTGGTGTTATTGTATGATCACTACCTATTTATTGTAATTAATATTTATTTTACTTTTCATATAACAACAACAACAAAAAGAATATTTAAATATACTTACCAATAAATACTTCCCATTTTCTATTATTATTTTGTGTTACTTCGTAAGCACAACGAAGTTCACTATAACATACACCACCAAGAATAAAAACAATTAAACGTGGACCTGAACGAACTGCACCTCTACCAGGATACATCCATTTGCCAAATTCTCGAGAACTAAAACATCAAAAAGTTAATTTATAATTGAATAAATTTCTTTTTGTTTTGTTTTATAGTTTACCTTGTTGCAGAATTATTAGGTACAATACTTCTTTGACCACCAACAGATGGAAATTGTCTTTGATCCAATCTTTCATCAATAATATCCTTTAAAACAAATAATTTCAAAAATTTCATTTATACGAAAAGTAATCGCAAAGATATTTTCTAAATTACTTAAAGAAACTTTCTATATGTGTGTAATACGTGTAACCGTCTGTATATATATATATATAGAAAAAGTGCGGGTCGGGATTGATGATTATTGAATAACAATAGATCAAATATAGCATTCATTAAATCGATTCATCGAATACTTTTTTCACATTGAAAACCGAAGATTACGAACTGCATCACTTATTATTCATGAAAAAAAAATTAGGGAAAAAATTCTTTCAGATAAAAAGAATCACTAATAGATTCATATTGATTTCAAATTTTGTTTTAATTTTCTCTCAAAATACTTTTATGACAAATAAATCATGAAAAAAACCGATACTTTCTATCTCAGTCTTGAAACATTTGAGTATTCTCTAAAAATTTCATCAATATTGAAATCTGACTCAATCGAAGTCGACTACTGATTCAGACTATAAATGATTTATTGCGTAGCATTTTTTTTTCTATTTTCCACAAAAAAACTGATGTTTTTTTCTACAATGATTACACATCATAACAAACAGACTCTTATCAAAAGTTTTTTTTTTTATTTGAATCTTGATCAAACATCAAAGATAATATAGCATTTTAACTACAGAAACAGTTACTGTAAGACATTAAAATATCTTCATCATTAGTTTTCATATGCTCTAATTCATATTATTTTACCTCCATTATATCTTTAACATATGGTGTCCATCTTGAATTAGTATATGTTGTTTCAGTACGTTCTTTTCTTGGTTGTGGAATATTTCTTCGTCTACCAGCCTAAATAAAAAAAAAAACAAATTTTCTTAATTATTATTTTTCATATATAAGAATATATTCCATAGACATGCATAAGAGATACTGATATATTTTTTTTTTTGGTTGTATAGATATTTTTTTTTCTTTCCATGCTTACGAACATATACAAAGAAGAATGAAAATAAATAAAATAAATAAATAAAAAAAGAAAAAGAAGAGGAAAAAAAAACATTTAAAAAAAAATAATAATACAGGTATACATCTTGAAATATATTCAGTCATGCTCATAAAGAAAAATATATCAAATCACCCCTGACGTTTTTATAAATAATTCCGTTGCCATATGCATGGCAGTTGTTCTGCCTAAATCCGCTGATACTCCACTTTCACGCTGGCGAAATGTATTTTTTTTTTAGTATTATTATTATTATTATTATTATTATAAAAAAAAGAAAAGAAAAGAAAAATTAATTTGTATTTACTTACTCGACTTTGATCTTGAATTATTTGTAAATTAAGATGTTGCATATTTGATATAATTGTTTTTTTTTTCTACTGGAATTAATGCATGACTTAATAATTTATCAAGATTTTCTTCCGTAATACCTTTAAAAACAAAATAAAACTTAGTTGTTTCTCTTCTTTTTTTTTCTTCTTTGTTTAATCAATGTTAATTAGAAAAAAAAATCCCAAAAAAATCCCAAATTAGCAATTATACTCTTTACCGTGTGACTCTGGTGGAGTAGAACAATAACCTAAATTAATATATTTGTATTTTTTTTTTTTTGTTATGTATAATTTATTTTTAACTCTCAAATTAATTAATTATATAAAAATAAAAAGAAATTTGAAAATTACCATTTTTATGTAGAATATATAACATAATAATACGTAATTTATCGTTGATATCAATAACAGTATCAAGTAATAATGGAACTATATTACGCATATGATCTTTTATACGTTCACCTTCAGGATCAGTACCCATGGCTAAATTCTAAAAACAAAAAACATATTTATCATAAAATTTTTATCTTAAGAATAAATTAATCAAAATATAAAATAATGAAGTTAGTATAATGGC